ATGTTTTAAATTTGGTAAAATTTTAGTAAATTTTTAAATCAATTTTGTATCTCTAAATCATTTTAAATTCTATTTCTAATTATTTATATGTTTAAATGAGATTTACAATGAAATCGAAAACTTTTTTTTTCATATATTATCTAGTTCTTAAAATAGAAAAAAATATTAAAGAAACAAAATTCCTTAATTAAGAGACTCTTTTGATAAATGATAATAGTTATGAATGTCATTGTTATTTCTCATTTGGTAGTTTTTTTTTATCCATTTCTTTTACAATATTCTTCTTACTAAAATGAGATTGATCTTGTATCTAAGCAAAATCTTCAAAATAGAAAAATAACAAATTAACAAACTTATATATAAAAGGTTAGAGTTATGAAGGGCTATTATCCAATAAAAAAAATACATTATTTTAGTTTGATTTAGAATATAATGAAAGAAAACATTGATATTTGTTGATCATTTGATACTCTCAATAATTTCATAAATTTTCTTGTCAATGAGTCTATGTTTGGAACTAAATTATGAATTATTAGAAAAAAATCATCCAAGTTATAATATACATAAATTTTATGATTGTCGTGATCTAAAATTCAAGAAAATACCATAATAATCCTCACATTGAGAAGCATAAAAGAACAAAACTAATTATAAATATATACTCAATTTAAAAAAAAAAAAAAAAAAAAGCACATTGAATGAGGCTATTGCTACCAACAGGAAGCAAAGGTCACTCAGAAAATTACGATAGGGGCCTTAAATGCAAGCTCACTCTTGAAAATGGTTGTGAAAACGATAATGAATTGATATCCATGGTAATTTACACATCTACCAGAGTTAACTTGTTCCTTATGATGGCCCGCTTGTGTCAACTACACAATTCACATGTATTATCAACTTACTAATCTGCACTTATGTAAAAAGATATCTTCTAAAAGTAAAATATGTTTTTCTTTTTCTTTTACACATTATATCCTTTTTAAATAAGTATTTGTATACATACATAGTTGTATTAAATATTAAAAAAAATGTTGTTCATAAATTGTAGTTTTACTATATAACAAAACATAAACAAAAATAGGCATTTGTGTGTCTTTTCATCATTTTGTGGCATATGTTATATATATATATAT